AAGAGAGGCCCATTTTCCATGCCAAATTGTTGCTGTCAAACACAACTAAAAGGTAAAAGTTGGAAAATATTTTCTTTTTCTACCTAATTTTCTAAGCTATCAAACACACCCTAATTCAATTATTTCAATAATACCCTATTTTTCGTTTTTCAATATATATTTAATTCATTTAACCATTTAATTACCATCAATGTATATGTAAATTTGACAGATTCATTTCAACAGTATGCTTTCATTAATGTATGAATTTCCTATTATTTTTTCTCAATTAATCAACATTTAAATTCATTTAATTAATATTTATCTTCAGTGTTATGAATTCTAATTATAAATTAACTAGAATTTCGCATTTAAGAATATATTTCATTATTAACGTTCATGTATAATTAATATCAAGTTTTACATAATTGAAAATGAAACAAATAATTTAATATTAATTGTCACGCGTATATTTCCTTATATTAATTATAAATTAATTAATATTTATATATATTCAAATATTACTTTAATCACTTATAAAATATTTTATAATAACTTGCAACGCGACCAAAATATTTCTGGATTACTCCGTATAATACATGCCGTACAAACTATAAAATGTAGAAATGTTGTGGCGTGATGGTTCAAGTACCTAAAAACTAAGAAAAGAAGCAATTATATTTATAGTGAAAGTTTGGTCTCCCGGCTTTAAGCTTTTTTTTATGTAAAGTTGAGGATACTAATATTAATAATGAATTTTTATTTATAATATATAAATCAATTGGGAGTGCAAAAGGCTAATGCACTACTGCAACTGTTACCACTCTCATCTGCGGTTTCACTTCTATTATAGATTTGGTGTAGGTGGGTAGGCCTCAGTTTGGTCTTGAAATCCATTTCTCTTAGCCAAAAATTCAATTCTTTTTAACTTGGCTTTTCTAAGAACCTGTGTTTATGGTGGTTCTTGAATAAATTTTTATCTGAAAATTTGATTTTTTAGAAGAAGAGTTTAAAAGGGTTTCAAGATGGGGGATAAACCTGAAGTTTTGGAGGCTGTACTGAAGGAAACTGTTGATTTGGTAATGGATCTGAATGCTTTTCTTGTTTGTGCTTTATGGGTCTTTTTTTGACGGGTTTTGTGTGTGTGTTTTCTTCTTTGTTTGTGTGCAGGAGAACATTCCCATTGAGGAAGTGTTTGAGAATCTGAGATGTACCAGAGAGGGTCTTTCAACTCAGGCTGCTCAAGAAAGATTAACCATTTTTGGGCACAACAAACTTGAGGAAAAGAAGGTTTATTTTACATTCTCTGGCCATTTTCTACTTCGATTCTTATGTTACACAGTCTTCAATTTTCCTTGCACTTTATATGCTTGTGTATTTAATGCTTAGACTAACGTACTTCTGATGCTGACATAAAGCTCATTTGTATCTCAATTCTTATATTTCATTGCTTCCTTTCCCATGTTTTTATGGGTGCTCCATGCTTTTGTATTAGAAGTTCAAGCTTTAAATGAGTTATAATTTAACAAAATGATTATTGGGATAGTAATGGCTGGTGATTCTGTCCCATTGAATGTGGTGATTTCTTGGTTTGGAATTTGGATTTAATGATAAAAGCTCGTGTCTTTACGGACCTGGGTGCGATTACAGGAGAGCAAATTCTTGAAGTTTTTGGGGTTTATGTGGAACCCTCTCTCATGGGTTATGGAAGCTGCTGCTATCATGGCAATTGCCCTCGCAAATGGAGGAGTAAGGACACACTTTTGAAACTCGTATTGCTTAAAGTATGCTTTTTATGTAGGGTTTACTGGTGTTTAATTTCAAGTTCTGCAGGGAAAGCCTCCGGACTGGCAAGACTTTGTGGGTATTATTACTCTGCTCGTGATAAATTCTACAATTAGTTTTATTGAGGAGAACAATGCAGGCAATGCAGCAGCAGCTCTCATGGCTCGTCTTGCTCCGAAAGCTAAGGTTAAATTTGAAATTATCTTGTGTTGGAGTTGCCGATAAATGCTTTGTCGCTGTTTATTTTTACCTGATGGATAGCTATTATGATGTAGGTTCTTAGAGATGGAAGGTGGAGTGAGGAGGATGCTGCAATTTTAGTCCCCGGTGATGTAATCAGTATTAAACTTGGAGATATAATCCCTGCTGATGCTCGCTTGCTTGAGGGTGATCCTTTGAAAATTGATCAGGTGTGTCTTTTCTTGATTTTCTGGTACATTATATACACTTTCAGTTTCAGTTAATTGGAGCTTGTTGAATAATAAATGATGGAATTTGCAGTCTGCTTTGACTGGGGAGTCCCTTCCTGTAACAAAGGGACCAGGGGACGGTGTTTACTCAGGTTCTACCTGCAAACAGGGAGAGATTGAAGCTGTTGTCATTGCTACCGGGGTTCACACATTTTTTGGAAAGGCTGCTCATCTTGTTGATAGTACAAACCAAGTTGGGCACTTTCAAAAGGCAAGTAACTAGAAATATGCCAATTTTTTTTCCGGAATTCTTATATTTCCTTTTGAAATCTTACATTTTAGTATTATTTTGTTGTTGTATTTGTTAGGTCTTGACTGCGATTGGGAACTTTTGTATTTGCTCTATTGCGGTGGGAATGATTATAGAGATTGTTGTGATGTACCCCATTCAACATCGGATGTATCGCCCTGGGATTGACAATCTTCTTGTGCTCCTTATTGGAGGAATACCAATTGCCATGCCAACTGTTCTATCTGTCACAATGGCCATTGGTGCTCATCGTTTGGCTCAACAGGTTTTTGCTTGGTTCCCTGGGTTATGACGATCTACTGTCGCTCTGGGATTCTCGTATGTGATGGGATATTTATACATGTACAGGGAGCTATTACAAAGAGAATGACAGCTATAGAAGAGATGGCGGGCATGGACGTGCTTTGCAGTGATAAGACGGGAACTTTGACTCTGAATAAGCTCACTGTTGATAAGAATCTTATAGAGGTTATATACCGGGTTCTTTTCCGCTGATTTTCTATGTGTTTACCACAGCTAACAGAATGTAACATCTATTATGTGCTTGTCCACAGGTTTTTGCTAAAGGTGTTGACGCAGATACTGTTGTTCTGATGGCAGCCCGAGCCTCTCGAACAGAAAACCAGGATGCAATAGACGCTGCTATAGTTGGGATGCTGGCTGATCCGAAGGAGGTAGCATTCTATCTTAATGGAATGTTTGGTATATGGGATTTGACTTTATTGGAAAGTATTAAAAAATAAAATGAAGTTTAAATTTTTTATTCTTGTGCTAAGCAGTACTGTGTGTTAGACGTCCTAGATGTCTGTTATACAACTTATGTTTCCACTTTTTGTGAATTTTGACTTCTAAATTCACTACGATCAGGCACGTGCTGGCATTCAAGAACTCCACTTCCTTCCTTTTAATCCTACTGACAAGCGAACAGCATTGACCTATTTAGATAAAGATGGGAAAATGCACAGGGTCAGCAAAGGTGCACCCGAGCAGGTAAATAGTGCCCTTTTGTTACGGTTTTTCTGTTATTTTATAAATCTAATTTCTGCCTCACATGTATTGTAGATTCTAAATCTTGCGCATAATAAATCTGAAATAGAGCGAAGGGTACATGCTGTGATTGATAAATTTGCAGAAAGAGGGTTGAGGTCACTTGCCGTGGCATACCAGGTAAACCGAATAGTAATTTTATGCCATAGGAATCTTCTTATAATGATGTGTATGTATTGAATTGTTTGTTGCCAAGAAAGTGGAAATTGAATTATTTCATGGGCGCCATTACATTTTCTTGCAGGAAGTTCCGGAGGGAAGAAAAGAGAGTCCTGGAGGGCCATGGCAATTTATTGGTCTCATGCCTCTCTTTGATCCACCCAGACATGACAGTGCAGAAACTATAAGAAGAGCTTTAAATCTTGGAGTGAATGTCAAAATGATCACTGGTAAATTTTGTGTTGCAACTTTAAGCAATAATATTTGGTCAATTGAAATCTGTTTAATGACTTATTGACTTTGTATTTAGTTATACATGCACATTTTCCATATTTGCAATTTCTCTAAAATGTCACCCACACTGCTGAATATGTTTTCCTTGAAGGTTCTGTGCTGGTGGCTATGTCTCTGAATTACGGATTACATTAATTTGTCATATTCCTTGGCCAAATTTTGTTTTGTCATCCATCAAGCACAAAGAAGCAAGTTTAGGTTTTTTTTTTTTTTTTTTTTTGGATTATGTATATAATTAGGCCCAGCACTTCCTTTTCATGGAGAATTTCACCATTTTGTTGGAAGAGAATAAAAACAATGATGGTTTTTATGAACATTACTTGTGAGCTTTTGACAATGAGGTCCAGAAACAGAATTTTGCCACATCAGTTGGTACTTTGCTATAGCAAAAAACCACAATTAGTAAATCACTCGTCGAGCCATGTATGATATCTGTGTTCAATATATTATGCTTATTTCTCAGTTTAGCTTTCCATGCCATTCAGAAGTTTTAATGAGATTATAGTGAAATCCAATATTAAATGCTGAATTTGGTGAATTTCAACAGGAGATCAGCTTGCAATAGGAAAAGAAACTGGACGAAGGGTAGGAATGGGAACAAACATGTATCCTTCATCTGCTTTGCTGGGACAGAACAAAGATGAATCAATTGCTGCTTTGCCAGTCGATGAACTCATAGAGAAAGCTGATGGTTTTGCGGGTGTTTTCCCTGGTAATTTTTCTGTTCTTTCCAAAGTCTAATGTTCCAGTATTCGATTGCAGATTCTGGTCACACAGATTTATGCATAATTCATGGTTCGTCCTTGCTTAAGTATTCCTGCTCCAAGTTCATGTTTTATTGATTGGCTTGTTTTGCATCTAATTCAGAGCACAAGTATGAAATAGTAAAGCGTTTGCAAGCCAGGAAACATATCTGTGGAATGACTGGCGATGGAGTAAATGATGCTCCTGCTCTGAAAAAGGCTGATATTGGGATTGCTGTTGCTGATGCTACTGATGCAGCTCGTAGTGCTTCTGACATTGTCCTCACGGAACCTGGTCTCAGTGTTATAATTAGTGCTGTTTTAACCAGTCGGGCAATCTTCCAGAGGATGAAAAATTACACGGTACACCTGTCTTGCAGTATCAATGTTCATATTTATCCCCTGTTTGAGCCCCATTATATAAAAACCTATTTTTCTTCAAACTCATTTTCAACCACACGTTCATCCAATAAATAATTTTACACGTAAATCCAAAACTTTTCCCTACTTTTTAACCACATTCTCTGAAAAAAATCACTATTACTGAACTCATTCTTTCAAAAAATGGGGCTCAAACATACCCTCAGTGTCCAGCTGGCCTGAATGCAAAAAATAATGTTCCATTCATTTTCCATTGACTTTTGCAGATTTATGCCGTTTCTATCACAATTCGTATTGTGGTATGTTATTTTTTTGATTGGGTATATGTTCTCTTTCCTCTAGTATGAATTTCATACAGAATTTTGACGTCTTTCCTTTTATTTCTGATGTATCAGTTCGGTTTCATGCTGTTAGCCTTGATATGGCAATTTGACTTTCCGCCTTTTATGGTGCTTATCATTGCAATCCTCAACGATGGTATCTCTCTCTCTCTCTCTCAACAAAAAACACTCAAATCATTGCTCATTAGCAAGGATTTAGTTTTGACTCACTTAGATATCTTTAATTGCTTAGATAGTTGATTATGTATTCAGAGAAATCAAGGCCAAACAATGTTAATTTTACTTGGAAAAGCTGAAAATAACAATATGGATTGTACACTGTAACATCAGTATGCCTACGGGACAATTCATTTTCCTTGTTTGCACGTCCAAGAGCCTATATCTTGCATTTCCATGGCATTATCTTGGGATTAAACTAACCAACCATGCAAGAAATCTTGCGCGTGGTTGGAGCTGTTGCTTTTCTTTGTGTTTAACTATCAACTCTTGTGCTTTTAGGTACCATTATGACCATATCAAAGGATAGAGTGAAACCATCTCCTCTGCCAGACAGCTGGAAGCTTGCTGAGATTTTCGCAACAGGAATTATTCTTGGTGGATACTTGGCAATGATGACAGTCATATTTTTTTGGGCAGCATATAAAACAAATTTCTTTCCAGTAAGCCAATTTTGTCAGTTAAACTCTCTCTTAATGTTTTTATGGAAGACATTTCTTATTTTTTCATGACTTCTGTGATTAATTTCCAGCGAGTATTTGGAGTGTCGACTCTTGAGAAAACTGCTCATGACGACTTCCGAAAGCTTGCTTCGGCAATATATCTTCAAGTGAGCACCATCAGTCAGGCACTGATATTTGTTACCAGATCTAGAAGTTGGTCATTTGTTGAGCGACCTGGTTGGTTGCTTGTAGTGGCATTTGTGATTGCTCAACTGGTACGGAATCTTGTCCCATTATTTTCACACTATCTTTTCGACTCTTGAGTTATTTGAATTAAATATTTGGTACTTAATTGCAATCAGGTTGCAACTTTGATTGCGGTTTATGCGAATTGGAGCTTTGCGGCAATTGAAGGAATTGGTTGGGGATGGGCTGGAGTGATCTGGCTCTATAATATTATTTTCTATATCCCGCTCGACTTTATAAAGTTTTTCACCCGTTATGCTCTTAGTGGAAGGGCCTGGGATCTTGTTCTGGAGCAAAGGGTGCATATCATACTCGACTAATTTGAGATATGAAATCTTCGCTCGTCAATGCCATGCGCCCTTATCTCTTTTACATTTTTTTCCCCCTACTGCAGATAGCTTTCACCAGGAAGAAAGATTTTGGAAAAGAACAGCGCGAGCTTAAGTGGGCACACGCACAAAGAACCCTTCATGGGCTGCAAGTACCTGATACCAAATTGTTCAACGAAACCAACAATTTCTCCGAGCTCAATCAGTTGGCCGAAGAAGCCAAAAAGAGAGCTGAGATTGCAAGGTATAGATGTTTAGCCATAATTATAATTAGTTATTAGCTTCTCAAGTTGATTTGAAATTCCAGTATGTTTGTCTCATGTTTATAAACTATTTATAATCACTCAAGTAATTTTTTATCCACACCCCTTTGAGAGACCCACAAATACTACGTACTTGTCCGCCACTTATTTGTATCTATTTAAACTGTTTATAAACACTTCCCAAAGATGCTCAATATTTCTGAATAACGGCAGATGATAGACATTAACTCAGCATATGATACCGCAATCTTGTGTATTTGTCTTCTGTTTTTACTGGTTGCTTTATATTCAACGCACAAAGGAAATAGTTTTAAGTATACTCAATTTGCCAAGTAAAAATAAATTTGAATAAAACAACATTAGTGTTTGAAATTTTATCTACCTGATGGATTTTGGTTTTTGGTTTTCATTGTCACAGGTTACGAGAGTTGCACACACTTAAAGGTCATGTTGAATCAGTTGTGCGACTTAAGGGTCTTGATATAGACACGATTCAGCAATCATACACAGTATGAGAAGACGTAAATTGGAAGGTTGGCGGTTTAAGTTCTGCCGAGACTGAAGCTATTGTCAACGTAACGATTAGCTATGAGCATACACTGACGGGCTATGCCTATCGGTCTGAAGTATATTTTTAGATTTATCCATTTTGGCCTTTTCAACTCAAATTCTTCACCTTTGTGATTTTAAGTCCCTTGTTGGGAAAATACGCACAATTGTCATGTTAGAGTTTAATGTCTATAAGCATAAAGCTTATGGTCTCTTGGTTTTCGTTTGTCGATTTCATTTTCTTTTGGTCTTTATGCAATGCAATGTAAATGAGCGTTTTTACGTCGTGAAACGTTGGGACCACCATGTCAACTGTCAAGTGAGGTTTTCACAAAAGAGTGGTAGATGGTTGATCAAATCTCATCGCAAGTTAGTCTTTGAATTGTTTGTCAATTCGAGGTGATAATCGATTCGAAATAGATCTTATTTAGAGCCATTAAACAGGGGCTTAACTTTTGCTTGTTATAGACGAGCTTTCCGAAAAAGTCAACTTCCTTTAAAAGCTCATCACAAGACAGTTCGAAAGCAGTTTTTAAGTTTTAGAAATAACTTGACTTTTTAAAACTCTGTCAAATGGGCCCTTCGTTGCCTGTCGAAAACTCGTGGTAAGATAATTGAATAGTAAGTTATACATGATACAGGACGCAACCAGTTCAATTCTTGAGATCAAGATTTGCTGGTTTTTCACACTACAAATTGGGCTTAAAATCTAACAATTAGGCAGAATGTTGGTCAAGTTTTTTCTCCTGCATTTCAACTGCAATGCTGCCATCTTCACTTCCCTTGTATCTGAACCACTTAGCACAAGCCAAAAAGTAGCAAAAGTTGAAGAAACACAATGCTCCAGTCATATAATAGAAATTGTCCAATCTACCCTCGTTGAGATCTTCTGGCAGCCAATTTCCACCCGATGTGCCCTCAGTCGAACGATGAACTACTGAAATAATGAATCCATACAAATAATTCGATACAGCACTTCCAACAAAGAAGAATGCCCCTGCAACGCTTCTCATATTTTCCGGGAACTGCTTATAGTAAAATTCTACTTGTCCAATGGAGTTAAATGCCTCAGCAAGTCCACCTAATGCTAGCTGAGGAACTAACCATAAAGCAGACATAGGTGAAATCGCGCCTCTTACTCCCGCGATTGGATGTTTAAGTGCCAAATCTCTTCTTCGTACTTCCACAAAGGCTCCCAAAAAAGACTCGACTATAGTGATGAATATACCGATTCCCATTCGTTGAAGGACCGTTATGCCCCCTTCTTTCCCCGTTATTCTTTGCATAAATGGGACTAGAATCCTGTCGTATATAGGTATAAAGATAGATAGGCTTAACATGGCGAAAATTATGTAGGTTGCTGCTGGTATTTGGAAGCTGGTTTTGCCTAGATGCCTGTTGGATTGAAGTGCTTGGAAAACTATGTACTGTTGTTGGGCTCCAATATGGTACAAAATAGCTGTTAGTGATACCGGAATAACACGAAGCACACATTTTGTTTCTTCGACTTGCTGCATGCTGCATAGCCTCCACGGATTGGCTGCTGATCCATCTGGATTGATTTCGTCGACTTCTGTTAAAATCGCTGCTTTGTCGAGGAAACTGACAGCACAACACGATTATTGAAATTACTTTATGAAAATAAGTGTTTTATAAGTTGATAGGTACATAATTATACAGTTGTCTTGGACTTTTGTCATTGTATAGCTATTGATTTTGACAAGTTCAAACAAGCCTAACACAGATAACTAACTGATACAGACTTTTTTGTTTCTTCTCTCCTGTTTTTTGCTCTAGTGGTTGAATTTGAGTTGCAATTGGTTCAAGATTCCCATCATCATAATGGACATTAAAAATGCTATGTTTAGGGAAAATCTCCCTAATTACAGGCTGTTTGTCCTAAATGGCAGTCCCGAAGCCGGACAGTTCAGAGCGGGATAATATTAAAGAATAAAAATAAGTTATAGTTTAAATATTTGTACCAAACGTTACGTTTTGCACATTATCATCAATCAAGATTCAACTAAACATGCTTTAACAAGAGTTTTGAATCAAAATATAATGAAATACTGAAAATTTACCTTAATTGATCAGTGTGGGGAAGCTTGGAATTTATGGATTTCATAGGTGTATAATTGAATAGGCTGAGCCGAGGCTGTTGTGGTAATTTCAGCCTCCTTTTCTTGAAAGCAACCACCAGAACTTGAAGTATACTAGTAAATGGACTGCCCTCTGGCTTCACTTTCACATAAATTTTAGTCCCCATGAAGAACATAGCACATGATAAAAACATAAAAATACTAGGAATTGCTAATCCTATAGACCAGCTCACATCAGTTTGCACGTAAACCACGAGTGTTACTGATACCATTTGCGCGAATGTAATCGTGAAAAAATACCAGTTGAAGAAACTGTTGACTCCCTTCTTCCCAGAATCAGTATTGGGATTGAATTGATCGGCTCCGAATGCAAAGTTACACGGCCTGATCCCACCGGCTCCGACTATCATTAGGCCAAAACCAAGCCATAGAAATGCCATTTGTCCCGCGTCTGGACCAATGCATTTGCTGTCATCTGCTCCGCAATGGGGAGGATGTAGCTTCTTAAATGCTGCTGTTAGAGTTATAACCAGTAATCCCTTCACAATAAAAGAGAACTCTTAATTCATATAAAAAATTTCTTCTTTTTATCGAATGTTACGATTGAATTTCCTTAAGGGTTGTACCAGAAATGAAGAGATTGAAGCGTATCCCAGTGTTTTGTATCGGCCAAGATAAGTGTCGGAGAGAAAAGCCCCCAACAAGGTAGCAAAGTTGGTGGTGCCATTGAAGATGTTAAGGAGAGTTGTGGCACTGATGCGTGACATGTTGAAAACCGCAGTTAAATACACCTGAAGATTGGTTAGTGTGCCAATGGCCCCAAGCTTCTCGAATGTCTCATTACCTTCATTCAAACAGTACAAAAACTTTAAAAAAAATTCTGAAGCAAAAAGAAAAGAAAAATAGGATTATATGAGCTGAATGCCCCAAAGGTGAGCGACTCCAACTTTGAATAAATAAGAGGAAATAAAAGAAAAGAAAAGTAAAGAAAAAGAATTCAGGGTTCTACGATCTGTTCGTGATTTATTAACTTGCCGAAGGATCTCAAATGAGGAACATTTTCAAGAGTGTTCGACTTCAACTACCAAGAAATAAAATAAAGTGAAAGAAAAAGAAGAGTCTTTGTACTAACCTATGATAAATGGCATGGCCTTGATACCCTTGTAGTTGAGTTCAGGTTGATCCTCAGATGTTTTTGCATCAATCTCCATAATTTTTTTCTCATTCTTCTCCATTTTCTCTCTAAAACTCTTTCTATCTAGAATATTCTGCTCAGTTGGTTTAGATGGCTCACTATAAGAAGTGCAAAGTCTGACACATTTATAGAGAAGACAACTGTCCTCTATTAGAGTATGCAGAAGAAGATTGGTTTGGTAGCTGATGGAAAGATCTTCTGGTGTAGTGTCTATGTTGTTTAGTTCACGTTAAAAAATCAAAAGTAAGGTTCTGAATTATCATCTGCGAGGTGATCATTAATGATAATCAGGTTCATCCTCCATAAACTGCGTGGTTGGCGCTAAAATTTATTTTTTAAATACATCGACTACTGCATGTTATGATTTTCATGGTGAGAAGATTATAATAATAACATTGTTGTTGCGATCATAATTTCAACTTGACAATTCATTCACAACGATTTTTATTTTTTTTATCTTTTTCAAAAAGGTTTGTTGCTCGAACATGTTATTAACAATTGGTTCGTAATTGTTTAAGTGGGTGATGACTTTACACAACTTTTCACATGGTATTTAATTAGTATTATATTATCTTGCATATTTTTATTATTTAAGGTAATATTCTACTTCTGCCTCGTACCTCCTTTTGTTTTTGTTTTTTTGTAATTAACACCTAGAAGTTTGTTCAACCTTGCTATCAAAGAAAAGTTGCCATAAATTAGGAACTAGTTCGAATGGAAATTATTAGGTTTATTTGTTCCCAATTTATGGCAGCTTTTCCATCGCATTAAAAGTAGTGGAAATTACATGGAGCCCTACTTTTGAAGATTGGTTGGCGCTAAAATTTATTTTTTAAATACATCGACTACTGCATGTTATGATTTTCATGGTGAGAAGATTATAATAATAACATTGTTGTTGCGATCATAATTTCAACTTGACAATTCATTCACAACGATTTTTATTTTTTTATCTTTTTCAAAAAGGTTTGTTGCTCGAACATGTTATTAACAATTGGTTCGTAATTGTTTAAGTGGGTGATGACTTTACACAACTTTTCACATGGTATTTAATTAGTATTACATTATCTTGCATATTTTTATTATTTAAGGTAATATTCTACTTCTGCCTCGTACCTCCTTTTGTTTTTGTTTTTGTTTTTTTAATTAACACCTAGAAGTTTGTTCAACCTTGCTATCAAAGAAAAGTTGCCATAAATTAGGACCTAGCTCAAAAGGAAATTATTAGGTTTATTTGTTCCCAATTTATGGCAGCTTTTCCACCGCATTAAGCCCCTGTTTGGCCCCCATTATATTACATTCCATTACATTAATTTTTTCTCTCTCTTCATCTCAACCATACATTCATCAAATAAAATAATAATACACACAAATCAAAAATTTTTCAACCACACATATATTACATTCCATTACATTAATTTTTTCTCTCTCTTCATCTCAACCATACATTCATCAAATAAAATAATAATACACACAAATCAAAAACTTTTCAACCACACATCTCCCATCAATCACTATTCTAAAAATTATTTACCCCCCAAAAATTTAATTTAATGGGGGGCAAACAGGGGCTAAAAGTAATGAACATATTTGCATTGGAATTTGATTTACCATATATTTCATTTTAACAGCTTTGCCCTTAGAACATTGTGGATGAGGTAAATTGCGAAATGTGTCTCAACAGGTTAGGGAACAAGAATTGTCATACTTGTGTCCACAAAGAGTTCAATTTCATACATTGTAAGAGGCATGAATCAAACCCTTACACTACGGCTGCTAGCTCAGTTGAGACTACCTCACTCCTGTCATTTGCATCACTGAGCTATGTCCCAGAGGGCTTATATTTCATTTTAAGCACGGTAACTCGGTGGGTTGATCCTCTTATCTCCCATCCTACAATGTTTTTTCGAGGAATTATATAATATTTCATTTTTCGTCTGGTTTATTTAGTTTTTATTTTTACATATAATTTAAATTTAAATAATAAGATAATAATAAAATAAACAAAAAATAAAAGTCGACAGGTGTACGACAAGAACCATGTTTGTCATCACTATTCAGGTTCACCCCAAGACAGAGAGATTTGGTGCGGGGCATTTTGCGATGCATATTTCATTTCCTTTCAAAAATTGATAGTAAAGACTTGGCAAGATAATTTTTCGAACAATCTTCGCTTTCATATAAGTGAAAGTGTTAAGTCTCTTGGGCTGTCTCACAATTCATGGCCCAGTCCTGTTTGTATTTGGGCTTGTGCAGCTTCCGGTTCTTGGCCCAGCTTCTGATTGTAATATTTACACGCCTCTTCATTTTCTTGATCTTGTGATCTGGCCAGATCTCAGCCGTTGATCTGTGGCTTTTGGACTTCGTGTATTAATGCTGCTTTGTGTTTTCATTTTGGAATTACTGTTCGTGAGATGAACTTTGAGAGTTGTAGGTTTCGTTTCTTCTCTCTGTCAGTATGTGTGTTCTTAGTGATTGTTATTCAATCTCTGTAAATTCGAGTGATATTTTCAAATATTATACTTGGTGTATAGTGGGTGAGAGTATTGTATCTGTGTGATTTGAGGCAAGAGAAAATAGTGAAGAAATTTCTGATTTTTTTCATAAATTTAAAACGATTCTTGGTGATTCTAGTGAAAATAGAGCGATATCTACTTTGTAGATGCTCAACGGGTGATTAGGCCTTTTGCCTGAACATCCGAATCTTTCGAGGTGAAAAATATTTGTGTTCATCTTTACTTTCTACGATTTCCAGTTAATTTGCGTGTTCAAATTATACTCTGGGACCAACAAGTGGTATCAGAGCATTTTTTCTCACAAGATTTGAGTCAGCGTTTTGTTTTCTTGAAACCCTAATTTTGAAAACTGTTTAAAGTTGCAGATCTTTAGATCTATAGAAGTTTTTTGTGAAAAAGGAGAAAATTGGTGGTTTCCTAAAAGGGAAATTGTGGATCTTTCTTCGATTCAATTTATTTGTTAGATCCCCTAAAGTTTTGAATATTTCTTCTGTAGATCTGTGTGATCTTGTTGGAAATTCTTTCCGTTCTTGGTTATCTTCATTGATCTGTTGTTTCTACTGAGTTTCTGGCTATTTTTGATCTGACTCAGTATTGAGTCTTGGTGACTCATACTGGGTGCTGGATAGTTGAGTTGACTCGTTCCAATTCCTGCTGAGTTCATCCTAAGTCTTTGTGACTCGTTGTTTCTTGTATTCATACTAAGATTCCTGACTTGATTCTGGTATTCTTTATACCCCCTTCTTCGTTTTGCAATCAGTGTCAATTTCTGAACTTGTTATTAAGGTAAGTGATCCTCCACTGCTTTCCTTTGTCCAATATCTCATTCGAGGATCTGGGAATCTGAGGGAGTAGGGGAATTAAGGGTTACCATTCCTTAAACATCTTCAAGATTGATGTTTTAATTTGACATAATTGTATTTGTTGATCAGTTGTTTACTTTGATACAATTCTGTAATATCTGAGGTTTATTTTTCTCTCATACTGTTTATACTTGTTATACTTTGTGAGGTGTATAATCTTGTTCTTGTGAGTTTATCTACAATCATGACTACTACACATAAATTTGAAGTCGAAATTTGGAAAGGAACTGGAGATTTTAGTCTGTGACGCCAGAAAATGAGGGCTCTATTATTACAATAGAGGCGTGCTGCTGCTATTGATGGGACATATGGTACTGAATTTAGTACCTATAGGAGACATGGGTTAGATGAGATTGCTTGGAGTTCTATATTTCGTCATATATTTGATACTGTTATTAGAAAAGTTGGGAAAACCACTAATACACAGGGTCTTTGGACCCAGCTAGAATCTCTCTACCTAACTAAATCTATGCCCCAACAAATGCTATCTCCTAAGACAATTCTATAATTTCAGATTTAATCATTCTTCCAATTTAGAAGGAAATATTGACAAATTCACTAGACTTGTTCAAGAGCTGATTGATTGTGATGAGAAATTATCTAAAAATCAACAAGTTGTTACTATGTTGTATGCACTAGGCGATAAATACAGAGAACTTAGAAATGCCTTAGAATACGGGAGAACTGGCCTTACAACAGATATTGTTATATCATCTTTAAGGAATAGAGAATTTGAATTAAAATCTGATTTCAAGGACTCTAAGTCTGGATAAGTTTTGAACGTTAGGGAAAAACTGAATAAGAACAAAAGAGGAAATCAATGCAATTCCAATTCTCATAAAAGGGATAAACCTCGATTTCCTAAGTTTAGAAATCAGAACAAGAATCAACCAAAATCTAAGTTGCAAGTTAAAAAATGTTATTATTAAGGTAAGACAGGGCACCTAATAAAAGATCGTTTTAAAAAGATATCTGATATGAAAGAAAGACACACTTCTGATTGGTTTGCTATTGTTGCCTGCAAAAATGAACATGATATTCAAGGGGTTGTCCTTATTAACACCACAAATAGAGACCCACAAGAGTGGGTCCTCGATTCTGGTTGCACCTTCCATATGTGCCCTATAAGAGATTGGTTCACTGAACTTGTTGATCTGGATGGAGGACAAGTTCAGATGGAAAATGACATGAGTTCTCAGATAAAGGGAATAGGAAAACTAAGTCTTCTAATAGACAATAACCATATACTTAAACTTGACAAAGTCAGATATGTACCTGAACTGAAAAAGAATCTTGTTTCCTTAGGAGAATTGGATGAAGTTTATGACATAAGGATTCATAAGAGCTTCATAAGTTGAATCTTAATTATAAAGAAATTATTTCTTTACCTAAGATAAATGGTTTCTATACTATGCAAGCTGAACCTTTATTAGGTTACAGCTCTATTGCTGTAAATTCTAACTCTGATAAGTCTTTAATCTGGCATAAAAGACTTGACCACATGTCTAAAAAGGGACTAACTAGTTTAAATAAATTTGGATATCTTGGAAAAGATAATTTTGAAAAGTTAAGCTTCTGTGAAGACTGAGTGTTTGGAAAACAGAACAAACTACCTTTTAAATCTGGGATTCACCAATCTATTTCAATTCTAGAATATCTAC